AGATGCAAAATATTTGATTTTTTTTCTTCCCCAAACTCAATCACTTAATCTCAGATTCCCCTTGTAAAAGGCTCCGTTCAGATGAATTTTTCGTCCACGCTCGATACCGATTGGGAAAAGAAAGTTAAACAACTACGGCCTTAGACCTAATCGTGTATATAAATGAAAGAAAGCAAAAACAACTTTTGCCTGAGAGAGATAGTTGAATGTGTGGCATCGTTAAACAGATTTTATATTAAAGAGATTTAAAAAAGAAGAAAAACATCAAAATAAAATCAATACGTTAAAAACCAATTTTCTGGTGCATTTTCTTTCTTCGAGCGCTTTATTCCTTCTTTCCCTCTCTCTCTCTCTCTCTCTCTCTCTCTCTCTCCTCTTCTCTCTTAATTTCTTTTGTAATTGGTTTATTATGTCTACACGGCTCGATTTAAGAGCTACCCATGGTGGAAGGGATAACATGATGTGCAGGGTGTGTTTAGTGGTCTAGTTTCCACCGAGGTTTAAACCTGTTACAGTCGAACGACAGGGGAATACTCGATTATAGTTGGTTAATTCTTACATTCTGATCCGGATGAAATCCTCAGTGGAAACTAGGCCAATAAGCCATTACACGCATTCTACGATAAGCCATTAGTCATAAATCAGAAGTTAGAAGCTGGAAATTGACCAATCACATTCGTCAATTTTTAACTTCTGACTTTTGATTTATGACTAATAGCTTATTAGAAAAAACTCATAGTTTAATTGTAGAGAGCTCATTAGAGAGAGACAGAGAGAGAGAGAGAGAAAGAGACGCTTGTAAACTGAACACATTATGTTATCACTTCTATGGTTCAGTCTGCATTAGGCATTAGTTCGGATCTATAATAAGTGCTTTAAGCCATAAGAAATTGACCAACTACAGTCGAATACGAGAAGAATAAGTGATTGTCCATTCCTTACGGCTTAAAGTTTATGGGCCTTCTACAATAAGCTAGATCATAAATCAAAAGTCAGAAGCTAAAAATTGACCAATCACAGTTATCAATTTTTGACTTCTGATTTATGATTAAATAGCTTATTGTAGAAAGCCCATTAAAAATCTATTGTAGATCCAAAGTAAGTAGTACAAAAAGCCGAAATTGTCGACTACCAGTGCAAATTCTGATTGGTTGCTGCTTTTTCGCTTTCTGCTTTTCCATCAAGGTATGAACGTGCTCTTAGTTAAGAATTTGGAAAATATAGACGAGATAACATGATGTTTGACGAGTATGCATGTCTCTTTTTAACTATCTGCGGATGCACACGTAACGTTACATTCATACTCAAAAGTTAAATTCACTTTCTTTTTAGTCTTATATAACTAACATGATTCTTATATCAATATATTACAATTATTGTCTTTATTTGATGTATTTTATTCTTGTAGTTTATTTTATTCATACAATGCTTTCATTTTAAATCGCTCACGTATCCCTATTTACCAATATTTAAAAACTTTCCAACTTGACTGCGCGATAACAAAGAGAGATAAATTCGCGATTAAGACAAGGAACATAGACTTTTGCATAATGCATAACACATAATGCATAAAAAAATGAACCAATCAAAGTCCTTTATTTCCTTTCTTTCCTGAAATAAAAAATTCTAATTGGATGATTTTTTTATGCCTCATATTTTATGCGTTCTGTAAAAGTCTGTGCTCCCCGCTTAAGGCCGCAGCATAGATTTTTACATAACGCATAACCCCAGATCTACAATAGAGTTTTAAGTCTTAAGTCATAAGAAATGGACAAATCATCGAGTCGACAGGTCGAGTCTCGAATTCGACTGTAATTGATCAATTTCTTACGATTTAAGGTTTAAAATACCTATTATAGACCTGACGGTAGTGCATAAGCGAATCAATTAATAAGGGTAGAGCCGAATGAGGTGTATTTATCGTGTACCGCGTAACCAATCAGAAGCAATCCGCTGTTGTAATTTTGTGTTTTACTGATTACTGATTCGTTGCACGATACGCGGCAAATATGCTTCATGGAACTTCACCCTCAGATTCCTTTCTTTTCTCCCATTCCATGAAAAAAAGAATTTTGGTTAGTCGATTCCCTTGTGCACTAGACATTAAGGCTTAAACACAATTGGCACAGGCAACAGGAAATAACAAGCTGTCCAATCAGAGCTTTAAGATATAATATCGAACTCATACCAGAGCTCTGATTGGATGGCTCGTTATTCACTGTTGCCTGTGCCTATTGTGTGTTTAAGCCTTTGTGCGTTATGCAGGAATTTGTGCTGCAGCCATTAGGGCCTGCGCACAATAAAACAAATATTAGGAACAGGAAGAAATATTAAGATATTAACTTACCAAAATCCAGTTACACCGGAATATATGGTTTCTGATATGTTAAAATTTTTATATTTATTCCTATTCCTAATATTTCCTCTATTGTGCGTAAGGCCTTAAGGTATATCCACACAACTCCCATAACCGCATAAATGTATGCATAAAGAAAATTATTCAATTACATTTTACGTACGCTTTTATAGGAGAAATGCGATTGGATAATTTTCTTTGTGCATACGTTTATGCGGCTAAGCAAGTTGTGTGGATATGCATTTAAGAGCGGAGCACAGACGCTTGCATGACGCATAACACGTAATGCATAAGAAAATGTACCAATCGAAGTCCTCCGTTTCCTTCCTTTTCATGAAATAAAGAACTCTAATTGGTTCAATTTCTTATGTCTCATGTGTTGAGCGTTATGTAAGAATCTGTGCTCTCCGTTTAAAGCACTTATTCTCTCGGCATGCATTTTGGCATTTCTGGCAGTTAGTGCACGTGACGTGAGTGCACGTTCGAGTCAGCTGTATTACATTCAATGGTGTGGACATCCTGTAGGGCCACTGATACAATTTTGACAAAAATAGAAGATATTATTTGAATGCTTTTTTAGAATAAACGGGGAGTAAAAAAAAAAAGAAGACAATCATAATGAAAACACAGAAGTGGGAGGAGTTAGATATACGACTGAGTGATTCTGTATTGGAAACACTCAAACAGTTGGGATTTTTCAGTATGACGCCCGTTCAGGTTATAAATATATATATATACATACACATATAAAAACACACGCCGCAGAGAGAGAGAGTGTGTGTGTATATGTATGTTATGTATGTGTATGTGTGTATGTTGTGTGTGATGTATATATATATATATCATGATGAAAACATGTTGGAAATGTATGTGAATATTGCAAAAGATTATATACTCGTTTACATATATTTATTGTTGTATTTACATATAGGTAGCTTGTATACCTTTATTATTAAATGGTAAAGACGTTGCGGCAGAAGCAGTTACAGGCAGTGGCAAGACACTCGCTTTTCTTATTCCTCTATTGGAAATGTTACAAGTAATCTTTCATTATATGCATTTATTTTTTCTAAACGTTAAAAAAAATGGCATACTTTTTGAAACTTTTACATTATACATGTATAATGTTGATTTTATAAATTACATTCAATATATTCAAAAAATATTGCTTGTGTCTAAAGATATAGCAGATTAAGTGAAAGACTTAATTGATTATAGTACTTAAAAATAGTACTTTAATTTATTCTTCCTTTTGGCAAATATAATATAATTTAGTAAAACGATTTATATATTCTATTCTAAAAATTTATATAACTGTTTTATATAATTGTTTTACAAAGTAAGCACATGTGTATTTTTTTTATGTGTGCATAGAAACGAAATGAAAAATGGAAGACTATGGAGGTGGGAGCGATAATAATCAGTCCTACAAGAGAATTGGCTATACAAATTAATGAAATTCTAGAAGAGTTCTTAAAAAGAATTCCATTGTTAAAGCAAGTATTACTGGTTGGTGGTGTGACGCTTCAGAAAGATACAGAAAAGTTAAAGAAAGGAGCAAATATTATTGTTGCCACACCTGGTAGATTGAAAGATATCCTGTCTAATTACATCAATTTGGGCCTATATATAAAATCTTTGGTATGTATCTTATCCTCTTGTTATTGGGTTGGTCAGAAAGTTCATGCTGTTTTTTTAGCAAAATTATAGAATATATTTGTCGTTATTATACCGTTCAATAGAACACAGTAAAAACGTTTCTTTTATTCAATTCATGATAACTCAGTAACAAAAAAGCTTAGGAATATTTTTAAAAAACGATTTTGTAAGGAAAAACTTTAAGATTTCACTTGGATGGAAAGTTGAAAATTTTTGCAAATTTTTTTGGGCAAATGATAGACCCAAAGTTAGAAGAAAATTTTCCATCTTTTTCACGTCGTAGTTTTCTTAATGTACAAATGTTCAAACTCACAGAAACTTAAAAACATAGTAACTTTTCGAAAGTAGAAATTTTAAGCTTCAAATCCGGTTTTTTAAATTTAAATTTTGTTTATTTTTGACGAAGATATTGTAAATTGTACAATTTTATGCTAAAAAAATGGCACGAATTTTCTGACCAACCCAATATAATATCATTTACACAACACAGAATCCCGAATTATTAACTAGGTCTACTCTTATTCTTCTAGGAATTTCTTGTATTAGATGAGGCAGATAGATTATTAGACTTGGGATTCTCGGCGACTTTAGATAGTATTTTAAGCTATTTGCCACGTCTCAGAAGAACAGGATTATTTTCTGCCACACAAACGAAAGAGCTGCAGCAATTGATCAGAGCGGGATTGAGAAATCCAGCATTAATTGTTGTGAAAGAAAAGTCTAACGTTTCCACACCTGTAAATTTAAAAAACAGTTTTACAATTGTTCAGCCTGAATATAAATTGCCAGTAATGATAGATTTTATACGTTCAGTAGGATTTAAAACAAAGTATATGATATTTTTACCTACCTGC